TATGTATCTTTCTATCACCACTCACTTCAAGCTAAGTCAAGAATATATGTCCGTTGAGGGAAGATACTGTATGAGGAGGTAGAACGGTTTTCCATACGGGAACCTCTCATATTTGAGCCTAGATTTTTAGAAAGTTTGCAGCATGTGTCCATTAGAACAAAATCTCATTTCTTTAGTCATTGCATGCAACTGAAGTACAGTTAGGTCTGCTCAGACTGTTGACTTTCTTCGGTTCAATGACAGTTCGTTGTCACCGGATACATACGGAGATTTTTAGAGAGATTGTAGGATGCTTTAACACTCTAACTTTTAGGTTATGGAACCATGATCTTTAATCCCGGAATCTCGCTTCGGAATGGAAATACGTATCATTGCCTCAACCCTTTATGGTACGGCAAACTCCACATACTGAAATTTTTGGTACCACACTATGTCCTCCTTCACCAGACACAACAAGCTTCAACCACCCGTGTGTGATATATGGGACCCAGTCATGTATGTATGAATATACACATTACTACCGTACGCACATCTAGAACTTGTATTATTACATTCTCGCGTTTCCGGTTTTGTAAGATTTTTTCAAGTTAGACCTGAACACTGCACTTCTTTTTCTTTCACGAGTATTCGTTGGTGAAACCTACGCCTCACGATCATAACTAGATTCATGATCTCTTAGCTGAAACACAGATATTTATATTATGTAGTACTGGTCATAGCTTGAGCCTTCTAACACAAAGCAATTTGCGCAGCGACTTTACAATTTGTGCGTGACTCCGATCCGAGTCGAGCAGTAATATTTGAGTGTTTAAACTTTCATTCAAAGTTGGGTGGTGGTGAGTTGCTCGGAGTGATGACGTAGGTACCTTGAGTTCCTTCCCCATGAATAAGTCCTGTGTTTCCACCTTGTGAATGGACTACTCATTGAGTAAGACCTAACTATACATCTCTGTGACTCAGAATAGGTTCCAGGTTTTGCATTGCTACTGACAATCCCTTCAAGTGAAGTTTTTCCATGGATCCATAGTAAAATGGTAAAGGTAGTGTCCCTTAGCTTGGGACCCGATAGCGCAGATTAAGTCCAACGACAGTCGATGGAGAGTACTCTCCGCTATTACAATCGGTGATGTGGTACTACCTTGTACTAAAGTCCGGTTCATTGACCTATGACAACTTGGGCTAGAAACTGCAATGATGCAGTGTCCATGTTGTAATTATAAACCTGTAGTAAATCGATGATCCCTTTCCCGGCTAAAGTAGCAGTCTCTGGAACGAGCGTGGTAACCCAGTGGTTAGTAAAAGTTCTGAGTCCGGATCCAAAAACATCTTTTGGAGACGTAGAAACGTCGAAAGATAACTGGTACGTTGATACCCGAAACACGTGTAAAAACGTCGAGAAATAACTGGTGCGTTGGTACCCGAAACACAAGTAAAGCACAGCCCAGAGCTCGCCTGGCTAAATAAATGTAAATAAACTTTTTTTGTTGCCTACTGTATTAATACTGTGCCTTCTCTGGAACGCTCGTTCCATTAGAGGGGAACACCACCTCGACGTCCCTGGTTACTAATACAAACAAATACTAAGTATCTCCAGTCTGGGGCCAGAACTGCCCCACTGAAGTCGAAAGCCCTAGCTAGTTGTAAGAGCAAGCCCACGCCTCATATCTGCAGATCTGTCCCCCTAACACTGAGCACGTCCAGGTTCACAAAAGACAACAGGTGTTACGAGACGACGCGTTGATCAAGACCAGTGCCTCCATATTACGTCGCCACGTTCATATTAACATGTTTAGTCATTTGTCTGCTTAGTTAGTCAACAGCAACTCTTCAACGTGTCGGTATCCGATCCAGATCTTGCTGCCTGACAGGGCCTACCCTTAAGAAGTGCAGTTGCTGTATACTTGATCTTCTGTACCTAACTGAGTTCTGGACATCTTACATACGTCCCGACCCCCAACCTTCTGTACAGAGGCCTACGACTCCCAGTGGCCATAGACTAACCGACTTCCTAGCTTGTCTCGGGTCTGCTGCACGCAAAACTAGTTCAACTAACCAGACGCCAAACTAACTTGGACTTAAACCAACAAAAAAAGAGAAAGACTCTCTCTGTTTTTCTTCTAACTCGTTTTCACTAAGCAACGTCACGTCGTACTACCTTCTGCCTTCTTTTTACTTTCTAGGTGAAACACTATACTCCCTTTCTAGTTAAAAACTTACTACACTGCAGTGTGATGTTGGGAACAAAAATATGGAACACAACTCTTTCAGCTTGGTTGAAGCGAAAGGGGTTACAGACTGTCGCTGGCAGTCCTCCGCGTCAGTCGCAGGTGGGGCTGGAAACAGTGGCGGGAGCAGAAGTTGCGGTAACAGAAACCACGACTTTAGCCACAGAAGTGGGAGGAAGCAGGGATAAAGTTTCGATAGATGCTTGGTGCGTGGATACAGGGAGGGTTTAGGTCTGCGTAACGGGGAGAATGAGGAAGAAAGTTCCCGCAGGAGCTGGAGTTTTGCATGGATAGTACCGGGATGCGGCAAAAGTATAGGCTGGGGCTTCTTTAGTTTGTACGGTTACCAGAGCTGCGGATGAAAAAGCAGGCGAAAAAACGCGTACTACCAGTTTTAGAAGGAAGGGTAAACCGAGCAGTCGACCCGGCAAGAGGAAGGGTAGTGGTCACAACCGTGATCGCAGCTACCAGTGTGGCCAGACCTGGCGAAGTAAAAACCGTTACAGAGGTTACTGGTCAGACTTGCTATGCGGCGGGTGTAGTAGGAACAGATAAAGAAGTGACCACGCAGAAGACAGTTTAATTGAGGTGAAGAACAGATTGCAATGAGACGCCCAACAGCAACTGATGTCCAACCCAGAAAATGTTGTAAATGGCTCTTTACCCAGTAAAACAGTGCTGGGCAGTCGAGGTGGAGTAGTTGGGGTTGAAAAGGTTCTGGCAAGTTCGCTTGTGTCACGAGTAGTGACCATAGGGACGATCTATAGAATGAGTACGACGGGAGGCATGCCAAAAGCCAAGAGAGGGCCCACCGCAGTTCTGCTATACCTATTTATCCATGCATTTAGCGGGGATACACAAGTAGGTCTCGCGAAAAAAGAGATAAGTGAACTGCTACCAATACTACGTTAAGGAGCGCTCGCGAGGGCTAAGAGAACAGAGGAAAAGGCGTGAACTTGGCTAGTTGATTTTAATGTAAACGGCGCCAGAAAAATAAGCTAAAGATTACATCCTTGAACCCGCTGGAAGGCCTATAAATGCTGGCGGCAGATCGTCGTACGCCGTTCGAGCTTAGGCGTCTTTGGTTCGAGGAACCATAGCGCCGTTTCGACTTCGTCCGACTTAGCTTCCCATTTCCCTTCTTCAGAAGCCTCTTTCCACGCATAGAAATCGGTAAGAAGACGTTGTTCGTATGCTCTACCGACTGATAAAATAGCGAAGACGCTTGGCAAAGTAAAAAAATAGGAGCTTAAAAGTTAAAAACGACAGCCACGAACAACTGCACGAAGGCCAGCTTTTTGGACTGGGACAAGCGGTAGGGACGTTAGGCAGATAGTAGGGGACAGAAGGCTACTGTACAGTGCGAAAAAGCTGCATAGGAACAAAAAAGAAAGAGGCTGTGTGTCTGGGGCTTCGTCGGCCTAGGCGGCGAGGGGACGGTTGAGACCCTGATAGGGTCTTTAGGGAGCACTTAGAGCGGGCTGAGTGTTTGAGCCAAAGGAGCCTGAGAAACCGCTTTTTCAGCTGTGCTAGCTAACCACAGCCCTCCTTTAGTTCTGAACGTGACTAAATGAGCTCCTTCCCGCTTTTGTCTAGGGACCTATATTGGGCTTCTTATAGTTCTCTGTGAGAAAGGTAAAGCTACTGGGACTAAGGCTGCGCCTGCTACTAAAACCACCTGTCCTCCCACACTATCCCCGACAGCCATTTCACCCATCCCACCCACGCTTCCAACCACCCTTCCAGCCCTCGCCCCACGTCTTCCAGCCTTGCCAACAATCCGTATCCTTAT